TCCAAAGGGGTAATGTAAAACATATCAGAGGTCACTACACCAGATGAAAATCAGACAGGGAGGTCTATGGCTTCAGAAATATTGTTATTACAAGTACCATCAAATAAACAAAGCAGAAGCGGAGGGATTCTATATGTAGGGATTTTATATTTTCGGACAAAATTTGTATCTGTAAAACAATGAGAGGAACCACAATCTACAAGAGATGGAAATTCGGAAATACTGGGATATGTCAGAATCGTGATATATGGACAGAGTGAAGTCAGATCAGAAACAGAGACAGCATTAAGACGTAACTCCTTTGTATGGGTTGAGATAATGTGACCCCCATCCCATACGGAGTGTCTGGGTCCACCACAGAATAAGCAGAGCTTCTTATCCAAACACCTCTGGCACTCCTCAGAAGTGAGTTTTCCATCCTTACCCAACTTGGAGGTAAGGTCCAGGGCCTTTGGAGCGGATGAGGTGGAGGACATAGTAGGTTTTCTGGGTTTATGTCCAGAATTCTGATTTCTGGATTTGTTACTTCTGAATCCAGACGAGTGGGAGCTGGTCCAGTCAGAGGTTGACTGCTTAGGAGGAGTAGATGAGGAGGGTTTTGTTTCACAGGAGATCTCTTCCTTGTGTTCCCAATAACAGGACCTTCCAGTACAGAAAGCATTGGTATGAAGAGTGAAATACTGAAACTAGGTCTGATGCATTTCCAAGGTCTGTGGCTAGTAACCAGGATGTCTCTTCATCCGTCCCTTTGTATCTGGACCACTGGATGAGGTAGAGAAGCTGACATTGTTGTCTCTGGCAGTCCAACTTAGAGTCTAGGATTTCAGATATCTCATATTCTGGTTCTCTGTTGACTTCTATTGGAGGTGGGGGTGGTTGGATACAATTAGGGATGGTGTTCAGAACTGCAGGTTCCAGTTGGGAGACATGGAAGACTGGATGTACTGAATGCATGGAATCCAGGAGTTGGATGGTGAAGGAATGCAATCCTGGTGGTTGCAAAGTACCCAAGGTTCTTGTGGTCCATGACAACATCAATAGGCTTGGATGAGCCTTCTAGGTAGTGTTGCCAGGTCCAGAAAGCTTCATATATGGCTAGGAGTTCCTTGTCGTGGGTATCATAGTTGAGTTCTGATGGAAATCCACACAAAGACGCAGGGAGCCATCCTTCTTCTTGACAAACAGGACAGGGGCTCCATGTGGAGAGGAGGAGGAACAGAGGAGTCCAGACGAGATATTTTCATCCAGGAACTTCCAGAGAGCTTCAAGCTCAACTGGAGAAAGGGAATATATGGTGCCTAGGGGTGGAGCAGTACCTTCCTCTAGGTCAATCTTTAGGTCATAAGGCCTATGAGGAGGAAGTTGGCTAGCTTTTCCCTTGTCAAAGACATCCACATATTCATGATACTCTGGAGGGATCGCAGATAGATCCAGAGCATTGGACGAAGTGGATACAGAATGGATCTTGGCACTGGAAGGACATAGGAAGATGCTGAACTGCTTGGAGCCTTCTAACTTGCAGGCCTGGCAAAAGGCAACTGCATTGATTAGAGAAATGTTAGGCTCGGAGGTATCAGCAGAGGTGTCTGGAGTAGTCGGAGGGGTAGTTTCCACTGGAGGTGGCAGAGGCGATATTGGAGGGGTCAATGGCATTCCATGAGATGAAGTCTGGAACTCGATGCTGTGCAAACCCAGTCAATCAATGGATTGTGTCAGGTAAGCCAGCTATATCCAAGGACAATAAGACAGGATGAATCCAAAGGAGTTACGTAGAACATATGGGAGGTGACTACACTGGACGAGAAACAGATGGGCAGATCTATAGCTTTGGAAATGGTTGCATTACAAGTACCATCAAACAAATGGAGCGGAATCAGAGGAATTGCATAGGTAGGCAGATTATATTTACGGACAAAGTCGGATTCTATGAAGCAATGGGAGGAACCACAATCTACAAGAGCTGGAAAGTCGGAAATATCAGAATACATAGGAACGGAAACATATGGACAGAGAGAGTTCAGATTGGAGAAAGATATAGCATTGAGTCATAGCTCCATTGCACAGGTTGAGTCAACACGACCCTCATCCCGTGCAGAGTCAGGAGGGTTGCGGATTATTTTTTCGCCTCATCTGAGGCATCCAGTTTGGTTTCCAGATCAACTGTAGCTGCACAACCTTTGGTAGCGTGTGAAGTTGACTTTGTGCAGTCCTGAGCAGTATGCCCAGGTCCACCACAGAACAGACAGAGCTTCCTGTCCAGCCTTCTCTGATGCTCTTCGGATGTAAGCTTTCCATCCTTACCCAACTTGTTGCTGAGGTCCAGAGCTTTAGAAGCAGAGGTAGTGGATGAAGTCATCTTTCCAAATTTGTTGTTTCTGGAGGAGGTGCTTCCAGATCTGGGCATGTTGGCATTGGCCTGTTTGGAAGACTTGGCAGGAGGGTTGGGTGTGGAGGACTTGGTTTCATGGGAGATTTCTCCCTTGCATTCCCAATAGTGGGCATCAATGGTCTGTGCAAGGGCTTTGTATTCTGAGAGTGTGCCAGGTTTTCCCATGCGACTGATTTCATCCTTGATACGAGCAGGAAGTCTGTTATAGAATTGTCAGCATAGGGCTCCATCACCCCACCCGCAGACCTGTGAGGCAAGTTGTTGGAATTCTACAATGTACTTGTTGATGTGCTGTCCATCATGCATATTGAGTTGCTCAAGCTGCATTTCCACATCTCCAGAAGGGTTGTGAGGTCCAAAATTGGTCTGGAGTTCAAGCATGAATTTGGAATAGTCATCCATCCAGTCTGGATGATCAGTTTGTTTGTCAGAAAGGAGGTCAGGTTCGAACCATTCAAGGGCCATTCCTTTGAGATAGGATTGGGCAAAATTGACTTTAGACCTTCCAGTATGGAAAGTGTTGGGTTTGCTCTGGAAGTTGAGCTCACACTGGACAAAGAATGCACGAAGTTTCCGGGGCTCAGTGCCATCAAAGACATCCGGCTCCCAGACCTTGACTTTAGGATCTTCGGGGAGGGTGGTGTGATGATTGTTTCAGGCAAGATTGTTGATAGCTCTGGATAGGAGTACCATAACATGATCCTGTGGACCCAGGCCATCATCTCTATCATCATTGTCTTCATCATCCAGATCATCATCCGGATTTCCACCATTACCATCTGGCAGGTTTCTGCCAGGGGTATCATGATCAATGTCATCATCATCTGGATCTCTTTGGCCCAGAGGGGCTAGGGCTGGAGTCCATGTAGGGGTCTCTGGATGTTGACAACTCAGAAGTTCTGAGATGCTTCTGGCAGTAGTGCGCTGGCTAACACGACACTGTGAGAAGCTATTGAAGGTTTTGATGATAGGAGTGGAATCACAGCAGGCAGATACTAACCTGGCCGCTTGGAGAGTGTTTGCAGTTTTGGTTGGAGCCATAGGAAGTGTAAATATACTCGGTAAGGTGTGAGTTCAAATATACTGTTAAGGTTGTACTCAAGGGATAACTGGATCTGAAGGGCTTCAGCCTCAGCTCATGCACTGTGCCCCTTACCCAAGTATTGCCCCTTATTTCAGGAAGGCAAGACTAATGCATCCGGAAGGTCGGACGAGTAGTGTAGCGGATCTGGATGACTTCCGGATGAGGGATAAGTATTGTAGGGCTAATCTGGACAAATCCAGACTAGAAACTAATGGTAATGGACTGTCGGAGACAGAGGCAGATACAGATAGACTATAGGAATCAATCCTAAGTCTCAGAGGGTGATGAGAGTAGAGATACTCAAGTCCAGAGGACAGGAATGAGTAGAACTAAGATGATATTCAAACTGAGGTGCTACGGAGAGTTACAGGAGGTTATATACTATAGGTATCTAACAGAATGATCAATCAGCAGAGTCCAAGGCTATGTATGAAGCATATGGATAGTCTATTGGTAAGTAGAAACAGATCACAAATCATGAAATGGAAATGAAACATAGGTAATGGATCAGGGAGCAGGACAGATATACAGATAGCCAAAATACCAGAGTTAGGGGATTACCAAAAGGAGATGAGCGCTGGTTGTGGATTCGGATGAACTGTGGATCGGACCTGGACAAGTGGACTGATTGGATGATGAGATGTTGGAGGGGGATAAGATGTGGATAAGATCAGAGATAAGATGTGGATAGGATCAGAGATAAGATGTGGATTGGACCTGAGATCCAGATATGCAGATATGACAACTCGTCTGGATTAGCCTTACAATACTTATCCCGCATCTGGAAGTCATCCAGATCCACTACACTACCCATCCGACCCTCTGGATGTGTTAGTCTTGCCTTCCTGAAATAAGGGGCAATACTCAAGTAAGGGGCACAGCACACGAGCTGAGGCTGAAGCCCTCTGGATCCATTTAGCCTTGAGTACGACCTTAACAAGTATATAAACTCTTGTAGAACCCCTGTAGTTTCCTTAGTTCAAATATCATCTTAGACTTGTGCATTCTGTCTTTGGACTTCAGTCTCCCTAAGTTCCACTTTTTCCACCAAGCCTAGGGGTGGATCCCCTAGGCTGGATCCCAGGTCCTCTGGACCCTCTCTTCCACTCCTCCACTTCTCCTGCTCCTCCTATCCTCTGGATCACTCCTCCTATCCTTTGGACCACACCTCCTATCCTACCCTGCTTTGGACTTTGTCCCCTGCAGCCTCTCCCCCATTAGTTTCCATTAGGGACTTATCCTGTATAGTCTGTAGACTTCTTCCCACCCACCAGACAAGACTCCTCCAGAGTTTCCCACACTCCTCTGGAAGTCCATTGGCACTCCACTAAGAGTAGCCTGCATCTGGAAGTCCTCTGGACTTCATTGGACCTACAGGACTTCATCTGAAATTAAGGGCATGTACTCAAGTAAGGGGCACAGTGCACAAGCTGAGGCCAAGCCCCTCAGTTCTAGTTGCCCCTTGAGTATAGTCTTAACATACTGGGACTGAGATGTGAGCCTTATAGTTTTATTCCCTTTGTTAATAAGCTAACAAAAATATTAGAATACATTCTCCTATAGGTGCCTACTCACATACAGAGTCCTTTTACTGAGACTGAGATAATACATTCTCCTATAGCTCTTTCTCCACATGCTCACTTGCCTCTGTTCTGCAGAAACTGGACAAAAATTGGATATAAAAAAACCTAATGAGCTTTATTGTCCTGCAGTATTTCAAAAAGCTGACATCCAAAGTGAAAAACACAAAGCACAAGCTAGGTTGGGAATCAGAGCACAGGACATCTGAACATCACAGAAGTTGCACAATATGATAAAGATGAGAGATGCAGAGTGCAAGAGCCACAGTGAAACACAACAAAAATAAAAATACAGATGCATCAACTACACTGGTACACCCCTAAACCTGTGCACCCTCAGGAAATTTATAATACAGCGGCTATCACAGTATCAGTATGTGAGACGTGTCTGCAACGGGATGAAGCCTCACAGTGTTAAACACGTGGTAAAAATGCCCGTTCATACCTCCCTCATCCTCGTTGCCATAGTATTCCATTGGGAACCACTGTCACGCAGTTAGCAACACAAAGCAACCAGGAGATAATACTTAGGCCGCACATGATCCTCCGGAAGATCCTCCTTCCATGCCCTTAGCATTCGGTCTTCGAGTGTCTGGTTCACAAGCTGGAAGCCATGTCGGGGAACGACAAACTGTCCAATCTGTAGCTCTGTATCGGTAACGATGCCTCGCGAGACGCGAGCATACGCAGTCCGGTAAAGCCCCCTATACAAAATGTACTCGCACCTGTGTTTTATTATCATCAGTTGGTGGCATAATGAGAGAGCACCCACCAGCGATCCCAGTCCTGCGGGTCAATGTCATTTACGATACCATCGTGCACCAAAATCTCGTAGGGCGCCGCTGTAGGATTCATTAGGACTAAAATAAACAAAGGACATGGAAGCCACACACGTCTACCAGCATGCGGTTTTGTGACTACGTATCCAAGGAAGATAACGGGTTGAGGGTACGACTTTGCCATGATGCGTGCGAGGTCCATGCTCTGCAATTCACGGTCGAGCGGGTCTTGCTCTAGATGAAAGACATTATAAGCAAGAACGATCGACTGAAAAAAAAATTGTGCCGAATGTACCTTGCCCGTTATGTGATACGACTACAGTTACCTCTGTCCCATACACGTCAAGCACAGCTTCGATTGCTGGCGCGAGCTCGCCATGTGGTGAGGGTAGGAGGTGGTGCTGCGAGTGAACAATAGGGAACTAAGGGGAGTGAGCACGATTTAAAAGGAGTCATTACACACTGACCTTCGAAAGTAGAGCAGCACCCCACGTATGCATGTTAGGTCCTGGGCCCAGGTCGACATACTCAAATTTGGTGTGGTCATTTCCCTGGATGGTTGCACTGAAGGAAAACTCACATATCCGAGTCTTGGAGAGCGACTCGCGTCCTGATATGAGAGGATGAGCCCAGAGCTCGTCCAGAGGACATAACACACTCACAAGTCACGATTTCCGTACACTGTCCGCTACGACTAGTAAGCACACCAGCAACTCATTGATTGGCATTGTAACTCACGTGCAGATCAGTCTCCAAAAGGCCAACTACGTCAAGTTCCATATCTCTTTATAGCAATGTCAGCAGCAAAAGAGCTTGATTAAATTGCCTTGCCTTATGATATCTCGGATCAGCCTTTGGCTGTCGTGCCCGATATTGTCGATCCCGAAATGCACCGTCCATATTCCAGCGTTGATTATCCCCGTGCCCGATTTATAGGGTCTTGGTCCAACAGGAGTCCAGCGGTATATTGTTACAAGGACAGCAGACAACGAGAAAAGTGTAAGAAGACAACGAGCAAGGGAACTCGCTGAGCTTGGCATGTGAACTATGGTATTAGCTGCAGTCCTTTTTCTTGATGGCCATTCAAATATTAGCGACGTTGCGACAAATTGCGTGATGAGGACCCTTATGGTTGAGCATTTCAGCGACGAAAACGGACTTTTATGGCAAAGAACTTACAAGTCCGAGCGCTCACGCAAGTACGGACCCCCTGGTACGAACGCATAGGCGACTGTCCACACATCGGCAAGGTAGAATAGAACCGTGACGAAGAATGCTGTGAAATATGTCCTCCCAGCCTTAGTCGGCTGGGCAGATTGTTGAATGATTCTAGGGAGCAATGACATAACGAACACCGCCAAGTTCAGCCCGCCAACGAAGCCCGTCCAGTCCCTGAAGCGGTACATCATGAATGCGCTTGCGCAACCATAGCTG